ATTCAATATCTGATTTACTTTTCTGGAAATACGATGTTATCAGAATTATGTGAGTATACATTTTAAAACTAGTTTTACACACACACACACACGTCATGTGCATAATACCTCATGCGCCTTCTCTGATGGTTCTGCTGACGCCCAGTGCCATGGGATTCACAGATTTCTCCTAACACAGACGACCAGGAGTTGTTCTTCATGGACAATGTTTGCCCATTATTAGCCTGTTTAAAAACTGACCCAATAATTTTAAGTGGAGTTTCACAAGAAACAGTAAGAAAATTTTATGAGGAACAAGGTACATATGACAAACCACCAACTTTCATGCATATGGCTACTCTAGGACTTCGGCAGTGGTCAAAGAGTGAGAAATCTACTAAGGAATAACTTTATAACAATTGAGAGCGATGGTCATTTACTAAGATGTACTTAGGAAAGCAAAATGAAAAGGTACTGTAATCACTGCATGTGCATACAAGTAAGATTAAAAGAGGAAATGAGGGACATCTTTCCCCACAAATACAGATGTATGAGAGGATTGATGAAAAAGCAAAAGTCAGCTCAGGTACATGTGTAAGTTCCACCTCCTCAAAGGAAAAGTTTATTTCTAGTTGATTTCTTCAAGTGCAATTCTAGATTGCTGGTACATCAAGGATTTTTGCCTTCTTGGTGCTCCCTGATGCTCTAGATCTGGATAAGTCTTATCTGCACTCTCCTCTGATCTTTCCCTTGCAAAGCAGGGAGAAAAATTAGTGTGGCTGATATAGGGCTCATGAGGAAAGACAGATCAAGAGGGAAGATTCGCAAGCACTTTTCCCGGATGCTAAGCCAACACTTTGGACTCCAGGGTCTCTGTAGATGGAAGATTAGTTTAATTTCAGCAAATAATCACATCAAATTATAATAAGCATGCTCATCAAGTTCCAAACCACAAATCTTTCTTTGCCACAAAGTGACCCATGAAGTCAATGCTTACACTTATACTTTAAAAGCTTCGGGCTTTAAACAACAAGGTAAGTAGCTGATTTAATACATAAACGTTTACTTTCTTGGGGAAGCCATTACAATCTAAAGCCCATAAGGTCAGTGACAATACCTATCATATTTGCCAATGTATTCCAATTCCTCAACCCAAATCCTTTAAGAAGGTCAATGAGTATACTATATTTACTCACTAAAGATGTGAATTTTTAAAAATGAAGTTATTCTTACCTGATTCCAGGTTCCTGAAGGTCTCCATCATCACATCTCTGTAGAGTTGCCTCTGAGAAAAATCCAGCAAAGCCCACTCTTCCTGGCTAAAGACCACGGCCACATCCTCAAAAATCACTGAGTCCTAAAACATTATACATATTCTGGATCACCAAGGTATCCTCTTCCACAATGTGTGCAAAATGATGGGGAGGGTGACAGTCCGAGGACCTGAGATTCACAGGGAGCTCACATACAAGTCTACTCTAGACTTTCGCCATTTGTGTCACTTATCCTCTTACTGTTGACACCTTATGTGTCAGACATTTAACAATATTTCTAACACAGTGAACTTACCTCTCCATGGTTTGATTATGACCTATCCAGGACCAGAACAAGCAAAAAACAGCAGAAGGGAAAGAAATTCTCTGTGAAGAAAAGAGTACTTCCACATTCAGATAATCAATTCCTTGTGGAAAAAATAAAATTCATCTTCTTCCATAAGATCCACCAGAACATAAAGCACAGAGTGAAAGCAAGATGAGTATTAACAACTGAGTAAGACGGTGGGATAGACAACTTTCCCCGTTGATAAACAAACAAAGCACGCATCACAACCAGACTCAAAGAAGGCAAAGATTTTGGAATTAAAATGCTGGTAATTTAATACAATTATGTTTTGAATGGAATCCTGGTGTGGCACTGTGGGTTAATACACTGGACTGCAAAGTCAGTTTGAACCACAAGGTCAGTGGATCAAGCTCACCAGTAGCTCCTTGGAAACTCTATACAGGGTCACTATGGATCAGTATAGATTCAACAGCACTTAACAACAACAACATGTTTCAAATGGAGAGTCCTGGTGGGATACTATAGTCAGTTTGAACTGCAAGATCTATGGTTCATGTTGCAGACCGTGTAAGACTAGTCAGAGGTTCGAGGCCCTCTAGGGCTGAGT